TCTTTGCAGGGATTCTTTTAAGCTCTAATTGATTGCAAATTTGTTTATGTGGAGAGCGATTTCTCAAAGGGGGTTTCTCATCTGAAAAGGAGATGTTAGAAAAGCTTGAAGTTGAAAGCATCATTGAGGATTTTGCTTCTCAAAATGCAAGAAGAAAATCATTTACATAATACCTTTTCAGTTGTGATTTTGTTGTTTTTCACCTTATCTTGCAGGTGGTGATGTTGATATTTTGCTGGTTGCTGAGGATGCAAAGAGATTCAAGTAGGCTGCTGCACTTTGCTTTGGCTATTGAGAATGTAAAGACATTTTTGTTTTGCTGGTTGCTAAGGATGCAAAAGGATTTCATATAGATTGATGTTATTTTGCTTAGGCTATTCAGCATGTAGAGAATTTTTTTCTTTTGGTTGGTTGCTTGTTGGTGGATGAAAAAGAACTTATTTTGCTGGATGAAAAAGAACTTATTGAATTGTTATAAGTATTTATCTTGTTTATACATTGTAGCCTTTTATTCTAAATTTTAATATATTGAAGTTTTAATCGATGGACAGATTAGATCTTGGTTGAAAAATAAGAGAGTTCATCACTAAGTTTAAATATATATAGGGGCCTAATTTTTACTTTTGCCCTGGGCCCTGAAAAATTCAGGACCGGCACTGCACCGCCATTGTCTGGGAGCACCAAGGCCTACCTCACTCTTAACAGTTTCGAGGCAGGTGGTGATGGTGGTGGTCCATCAGAATGTGACAACAAATACCACAATGACAACACACCAGTTGTGGCATTGTCCACTGGATGGTACAACAATGGAGGAAGGTGCCATAACAACATCACAATTAGCGCTAATGGGCGCAGTGTGGTGGCCATGGTGGTGGATGAGTGTGATTCTACTGAGGGATGTGATGCTGACCATGACTACCAACCTCCTTGTCCTAACAACATTGTTGATGCTTCAAAGGCTGTCTGGAAATCCTTGGGTGTGCCTGAGGACAACTGGGGTGGCTTAGATATCACTTGGTCCGATGCTTAGTTGCATTTTAGTACCGTATCTCTATAGTTTTATTTGTTTTTTGTTGTCAATGTCTGTGGAATTTGTGTTCTATAATATGTTATGTACTATGAAAACATCCTAGTTTTTCTATGAAATTATTTTGTTTCATTATGGATTTCTAACTTACAAATGCAGTGCATGTGACAATAAGATGGAGGTCAACCCTTCAAAACCTCTATTTTGCTTAATCTATTACACTAGCATTCACATAGATTTCTTGTCGCACAAGGGCTTGAATGCTTCACCAGTTGTAACAAAAAAAAAAAAACAAGCAAACAACTTTTAAAAAAAATAAAAAACAAACAAATAAAGACGAAGAGATGGGTGTGTTTTTTTTCTTTACAAGAGATGGTCTAAGTTTTAAATATATTGTTGATTCTTTCTTTAAAAACTTAAACTTTTGAGGTTAGTGATTGTCTAACATGATATCATAACTTTCTTTGACAAGTGATCGTAAATTCGAAATTAGTCCTTTTTTGGAATGTTGATGTGGATGCCAATGCCATATGACCAATAAAAGAAACCATTCCTTCCCCTATAAGGCAATTTCCTCATTTTGAATAAGCAAAAAGAATTGTCAATTAATTCAAAACTCAAAAGTGAACAAACGCGATCAAGTTCAAGTTTGCCATAAACGATTCTAACCATGAATCTTAACGGTGGATAATGATATATTAGGCCAAAAACCCTCCAATTTTCATGGTTTCGAGAGTTAGTTTTGTTTTTTTTTTTTTGGGCACATGGTTTTGAGAGTTATCTAAAAACAACTAACACAAGCAAAGGTTGTGCACAATAATATGGACCACTAATTCAAGATTTATAAACTAGGATTTGTGACCACATATCCACTATACCAACTATAGATGGAAGTGCACAAAAACCAACCACGCACTAGCCACAATTCCCTATGACTTTTTATTATTTATAGCCCAAATATCATATTTATAAAAAACCTTTCAAATATATATATATATAGAAAAAAAACCTACTTACGTGCATTAGATTATTAACCAAGCAAGTAAAGCAACAAAGACATTGATATTCTTGCACTGTATATGATATACCTAACAAAGATTTTGACCCTTAGCTTTGTTTAGGTAGGAGGATTCATTTTAAAAATTAATCAAGCCAATAGGCCATGGGCCCTTAAATGAAGGGCTGGAGAGAAACACAAGTAGAGATGGAGAGAAACACACAGAAAATGAAGAGCTCAGCAATTTGTCCAAGAGGCTCCACTGTCCTACTAGTCATTCTCCTTTCAACAATTTGCCTGGTCACAGAAGCTCAGCAATGCCGTCCAAGTGGCAGAATTAGAGGAAGGCAGCCTCCTCCTGGACGGTGCAACCAGGAGAACGACTCTGACTGCTGTGTAGAAGGCAAAATGTACCCAACCTACCGATGCTCGCCCCCATTGTCCCGGCATACCAAGGCCTACCTCACTCTCAACAGCTTCGAGGCAGGCGGAGATGGGGGCGGTCCATCGGAATGTGACAACAAATACCACAATGACAGCAACCGAGTTGTGGCTTTGTCCACTGGATGGTACAACAATGGAGGAAGGTGCCATAACCACATCAGAATTAATGGTAACGGGCGCAGTGTGGTGGCCATGGTGGTGGATGAGTGTGACTCTATGGAGGGATGTGATGTGGATCATGATTATCAACCTCCATGTCCTAACAACATTGTTGATGCCTCAAAGGCTGTTTGGAAAGCATTGGGTGTGCCTCGAGGCCAATGGGGTGGCTTAGATATCACATGGTCTGATGCTTAGTTACATTAGTGTCTGTTGCTTGATGTCTTTTTACGGTGGAATGTGTTCTTAGCAGTTCTTTAATGCATTAGCTATATTGAATCTTCTGTTAATGTGACACGGACTTTTTGTCTACGCATGGTGTGCATGCCTCTGTTTTCAACCCTGTTTCTTTTTGTTTTCCTAGAACGACAAAGCATGATAAGTGTCCGGAAAAGTGGCTTGATCTTTCCTCTGTCGGTGGCCGAAATTGTAGAAAACACATGAAAAGGTCGAAAGGTGAATTGGGGAAATGAAAAAGAAACTAGGGGAAGTGTCTATAACATAACAAGTCACATGGTCCAACAAGAGAAAATTTCAAACCAAATTTAGTATATCTAAAGATGAAAGTGAATTGAAACCATGAATGGTACAAGAATGCTAAATTTCAAACTAAATTTTGAATAAACTAGAGAAATATGAGTACATCCCCAATGTCTACCATGGATAAATGAAGTTAGAATTATCAAAGGCCAGAATCAGCTGGCTTCTGTTTTCCATCATCGATGCTTCAATGAATAATAGGTTCGACTAGCCATGAATGAAACTGAAATGTACATACAACGCCCATGTAAATAAAACAAGTCACCCTCGCATTAAATCAATGTCAACATGAGTGTTACGAATGTCCAACGGCCGTGATGCCTGCCACGCCGCCAATGAAGCGCTTTGAGAAAGATTTTGATCTGGTGAAATGCTATTTAGCGCAACTGAATTGTCGACTGTCTGATGGTCCAAGTCTCTGGCACCTTCTACAGCTTCCCTTTTCTTGTTCTTTGTCTTTGAGCTACCCCATATGAAGCTACCTACTACCACCTGGCATCAACCATTGTGTGTTTCAGCCTCAAAATTAACAAAGAAAAATAGGGAAGAAAAACAACGATAACTCCTTTATGGCATTCGCTAAGCTACTGTAGCATTTAGATGACTGCAACGGTGCTCTTTTGGTTCAATTTGTGACATAATGAAATGAAATGATGGTTGAATTTAATTTACCACAACTAAATAGCCAAAAACTACCTGGCATGTTTTCTGTTCTGTTGAACTCATCACCTCGCTACTCTATGTGACTACCATTTATGGTAAGGGTTACAATATTTGTAAAGAAAACAGCACCAGTCCCTTAAAACTTTCTATGTTGAAAAGATCAACTAGCAATTCATAGGAATGAAAACAATTTGCTGAGTGAACACAATGATTGAAGGCCAAAGCAATGAAGAAGTTATTACCTGAACAGGGCTTGCTGCAATAAGCATCCCCCCTACGCCTCCACCAATGACACGACCATCAGGACTAGCAAGGGAGACACTCAGACCGCCAGTTCGGTTCCGGGAGCCACCACTTTCAGTGAGCAAGTAAGAGCCTGACAGACATATTATCTCGAACCGTCCCTAGAGAAGTTACAATCCACAAGACAAGAAACTGTTTATTATCAGAAAATAGAAAAATAAGATTCAAAGAAGATAAAAAGGAATTGATATTACTAAAACAATACATGTAAAAAATTGAACTGTTAAAGTTTTTATATGAAAAGGAACATACATAAAAGTGTGTCAGTGTGTGTATGCATGCACACACATGTTTGTGCATGTACGATTTCAGGACAAAATTACCACAAACATAACACAGATGCTAATTTTGAATTATTTTCCTGGCAACATATAGATTTTTGGCAGAAATTTATGATGACTAACAAAAATGAGAATGCCTTTCGCATTTGTCTTGCATTTAAGACAAGCCTGAACCAACCTTTCATGACAAGGCTCTGGAGTTGATGAGCCCAGTTTCCTGGCATCACCTCATAACCATAAACATTACAATATACAAGAACATTTAAACGTATAATGAGTCGTGAACCTTCACAAAGGATTAATAAATTTATTACTCATCTACTATACACAGCTCATAACTGAGCTAGAAGTGGAATATCATAAAGTGTTCACACCTCATATGTGACTGTACCACCAGAAGTTGAGGGCTGACGAAGTGTCACGGTAGAGACAGCACCATTGGCTGACAAGATGCACAGAGCTCTTGGCCCCTGCTGTGAAAACGACATTATTTTTGTTGCAATGTCCTACAAAAAAAGATAAGCAGATTCAAGACGAAAGAAACTGCTTAAATACATCAACTATTTAAAAAGATACTGTACCACCTAATGTTTTTAGTAATTTAAAAAAAAATCAAACTTTAAAAAAAAAATTTGTATACAAAATGATAGGATTGAGTGCAAAAATTTGATTGCCAATATAGCAGTAATAACAGAAAAATGATCACACCAGTTGATATGAAGAACCTCAATGTTTATTCCTTTTCCCATCAGATTTAGCATTGATTTCATTTAAGTAATGATCATCATTACTTTGGCAGTTCGTGGTGCTCCTTCGAAACTTTGCTTGTCTTATACTATATACAAGCCAACCCACATCAAAATCATGGCCACCTCAAAACTACCAAACTCAAACTGACTCGAAAGCTTGGCTCATTTGGGTAAAACGTATTCTTTTATGTAATTATTATGTATAAAATCTATACCTCTATATAATTACATATAAATAATAATATAAAAAAAAACTATGTCAACATAAACAAATATATCTACATCTATATAACAAATGAGCCGGCACATGACTCGTAAATCAGGCCTCATCAAGCACGTCTGAGCCACTCAATTCGAATGCAGACCTAATCAGAATCTATTCCACGTATGAAAGGTTACAACACAAAGTGAAAGAAATAAATAAAAACTAGCATATAAATGGCATCCAGCTGCCTGCCCTATGACACCATATCTTGGCCACCTTAGTTTATCAACAGAGAACTATTCATGGCGAAAGAATTGTAAGTGCTTGCATATAGGAATATATATTTATGAGATAATATGACATACTTCTCCCATTGCAATGGTGATAATATGAGGAGTGAAACCCATCCCAGCCGAACCAGACAGCAATTCACCTAGCAAAACAATCAAGCATTTGCAAAATCATTCCCATACCAACAGGTGCCAATGCAGGGCAAGAAGCATATATTTAAACTACGTATGTCATATGAATCCCCTTATAACCAATCTACCCCACATGGAAGAATGCTGCTCTCACAGACAACTAAATTAGTAAAATGTAGCTGTTATGTTTGGTATAGACAATCCACATCGAAATTTGTGAAGCTGAAATCAAAAGCATAAAAACATTGTAAAAAGAGGTGCTAATGTAGGAAGCATGGTTCAAAGTTATATTGAATATGTAATTAGATAACCACTTGATTCATTGGCTTCCTGCTTATTATTTAGCATCTTTGATGGGTTCACAGTAAGGATTAAGCTACCAAGGACATAAATTTGCAATTTTTTTTTGCAGCATCAAATGCTGCAACTTCTCTCTGGATTGCTAAGAAATTTGTATTTCATGGCGTTTCTAATTTTTGCTTGTCTACCTGTATATGATCCAAAGTTTTTCAAAAATTTCTGTCCAACCCAGTAAATTCCTTTTATTGAAAATGTAGCTGCTTTGCTACATTCACCCTACATAATTCCACATTTTAGTGCCCTTGCAGGGTTCCATATGCCTCATAGTTTACCCTAAATTCTGTTTCACCCCTACAGTATCCTGTCTACTATATTTTGCAATTTTGTTGAGATAGCGTACAACAAAGTAGTCAAAATGTCAGTGTATTTACTTCTGCCAATGAGCATTCCAGTTATAGGCAGATTTGAACTAGCAACTAATCCCAGAGAGTGCACAGCTAAAGCAGATCATATGACAATGTAATGAGATGCACCATGCTCTAACAAAAGTCTCTGAGGTTTCTCTTAACTTAAAGAACCCACACCATAAAATTAAAAATCCCTTCAACAAGCTATCACCATTGTTAACAAACAACTATAAGTCACCCATTAATCATTGTCAATGTCAACACCATACAGAAACTGAAATTTCTATTGAAACTTACCAAGAGATGCTAACTGCTGCTTCTTCCCAGACCCAGGTGGCCGCCCTCTACCTCGCTTTGGGGTTGATGTTACCATCCCGGGATTAGCAGATGATGAAGGAGACAATGCCAATGAAACAGTCCCATCAGGTCCATATTTCCGAGGTCTTCCTCTTTTCCTTTTCACAGGTTCACCTGGTGGCAGCATAGATGGTGCACCCACATTGACACCATGAGGTGTAATAGCTGAAGAAGGCTCTATCGGTAATGTTGAACCAATGTTACCACCCCCAAGATTGGATTGAAATGCTGTGTTTGGATTAGATAAGGGATGAATGCCTTGTGATCCATGTAAACCAGACTGTGTTAGTCCTCTTGATGTGAAGTAAGAGGCTGACCCTGATAATGCCATAGGGTCCCTCCGATCCATGCATTTATTCAGCTATCTTTCAAAAGAAACTCTCACCCCAACCTTGCAACTCAATGCAAAATGTCCCCTCCTGCTCTAACATTCACTACTCGGTACAAAGACAAGCTCTACAGAAAAGCACAAAATTCAGAAGAATGTGACACAATTTGCAAATACTAGACAAGAATCCTTCAGGAAATTGAATGTAGACTCTGTTTTTAAACTCGAATATCTACAATAAAAAGTTTTATGAAATAGTAATAAGCATTTTTAGATTGAAAAGTTCTCCTTCCAGGCAAATACATTGTTTAAAGAACTGCAACATTTTACATGTGTTCAAGAATGGAGCATAACAAAATCCATATCTTGATACCAAAGTTCACAGATGAAGCTTTTCAAAACTATATATGAAATTAAAAACTAAGAGAAACAGAAGGAACTTCATAGACCTTCGGATGCTAAAGAAAGAACTATGGAAAGCAAAAACAAAATTATGCAAAATATTAAAGGGAACAGAATTAGAGCAAAAGGCAAAACTTTTAGCAACCAAGAAAGCAAGAGAAAAAGAAGTTCAAAGTTCAAAGGCTAATAATATTAATAAGTTAGACAAAAGACAAAGATGGAAGCTACTTTTACAGCTTACCAAACCAAGGGAAACAACAAAAAGGCTTCATGCTGAAGGCAAAGAACAGAGAGACTGAAACAGGTCCACTGTCACCAACCCATTATAAAGCCTTTGACACCAAGCATCTTTAAAGGCAACCCCATAACCATATACACACAAAGCTCAACTCTTCAAGTTCAACCTTCAACACCACCCCTCTCCAAAAACTTACAGTAAATAAAAAAAGACCACAAATTTAAGTCAATGCCAATATATTTGCCACAACAAACTCAAACCCAGGTCTTGTTTAGCACCACAAAGTGTGAGGAAGCAAAAGATAACCCAAGAAGTAAACAGTCAAAAAAGACAGAGTCAAAGTGGCATTTTTCAAACAGGTTAAAGGTCAGGCTGTTTTGCACTCTCTCTGTGCTTCCCTAGGTCTATGACTAAGAAAAGGGAAGGAACTTTGAATGTGTAGGAGAGAGAGACAGAGGGGAAAAGAGAGAGATTTTTGAAGGGGCATTAAAGGTCGAACAGTTTTTTGGGAAATGCACAAAGGAGGAGGTCATTTGGTGTGTGAAAGAGAGCGGTATTTACTACTGGGTCTAGCACAAGTCCTTATCTGAATGCATTTCTCTAGGATGAAGTTTACTCTCTGAGAAAAAGCTGCTTATCTCTCTCTCTCTCTCTCTCTCTCTCTCTGTCTCTCTCGTGTTTGTGACACAAGTGGAAGTGGGTGATGATCCTTGCTTTGCTTTGCTTTGCTTTCCTTTCCCATATTGGACTATTCATGGGATAGAGTTTGAGAAGCAAACAAAAACTTGACAGAAAAAGCACTTATTCTTTGGATAATACCGATATTTTATTTATTTTTTCCTACATTTATAGATTTTCCTTTTTTCTTATTATATTTATAAGGATTTTCTTTAAAATTAATTTTGGATATGTATAACCTTTTGAGGTTGGGTATGTTGAGGAACTCTATCCTACGCGCAGATAAGGGCGTGCGATACATGTGCCTTAGCCTATGTTGTTTTGTATCCTACGGAGATATCTAAATAAAGTTATACACCACCCGTTAATTAGGTGTGCAACTCGAGTCGGGTCAAACCAAATATGCCCGAGTTCAACCCGACTTTTAATACGGGTAGGTAGATTGGAATTAGGTAAACTCCCGTTCAAACTTAACTCCACCTCAATTAGATCATTTTTAAATATTGTTAACACGTGAAAATATAATAAATAATTTAATATCTAAGTTAAACTTGTGTTTCATTTACTGACAAACTCGTTTATTTAACGAATCTCGACAATTAACACTCATAAAGTTTGTTAGTAACTTGCAAATGATGGTTTCTTCTCTCTTAATTTGGATCTCATTGCCACATCTCGTTGAATCTTGTCGATATTAATCTAATTGAGCTAATCTCTCAACGAACTGGCCACGATCAATGAAAATTTTAAATGATTCACCATCAGTCTTTAAAGATGGTTCACCAATGATGACAGTTCGATTGCTAAGTTTAACTAGAATCCAAATTGAGCCGCACCAAACCCAACCCTATTGTGATTGGAATAGAACATAGTTGCATATATTGGGAGATTAGAGATATCTCTCCTCCACTCTTAAATAATGGACCAATGCATGTCAAACTTGCATATCTACACACGCATTCTATCCACTATCCATTATGACAGGCTACGCATCTCTGAAGAGCGTGAGAGGCATCAAAGAAGCAAGTAGCCGTTGTCATTCAAAGGTGACCTCACTGAAAATGGGTTTGGGCCCCTCCGAAGAGGGTGACTTGGTTTGCATGTGAGTCTTTCTGAGTGTATGTATGACTTGTCTCTCCCTCCCCCACCACTTTCCATGCCCTACATATTTAACTTTAGAAAAATATCTACAATTTCAAGAGCACTGATATTCTCACCTGCCTGTGGGAGCTGTAGCTATAAAGTCTACCTTTAGAACTTATATGAGTACTTAGTTTCATATTGTCTGTTCAATACAGCGTTTGAGCAAAATGTAGATGCAACATTTGGTATAACATTTGTATACTTTTGAATTCCGGATTGATCAACACGGTTAATCTAAGAGACGTCAAATGAATCATGAATCGAACTTAGAACTCTCTCTTTGTCAATGTGAACCAAATATTCTTCGAGCTGTCGAACATTAATTAAAGAATTAACAAGTAATTAACATATATAAAAAGGCTTATTAGCCCTAATTGCACGCTAGAAAATCTAATCTATGTGGAGCATCAAAGTCAAACTTAAGTTCAATTACAGGAGTGCACTTCAAGTTGAAAGTCAAGGAGCTGCTTTTTCCATCTGCATATTAGAATAATGTCACAAATAAAAACATGTTGGAAAACAGATGATGCTTCGTTTCATGCATCCAATCCAATAAAATATATTGAGAGACAAAATTTTATATTAGATATTTGGATTGGATAGTTGGATAGATTTATGGAGATCTCTTTGTTTGGTCCAGCATTGGATCATCAACTCCAAAAGTGGAAGTACCTTGAACTCTGTTTTCAGAAAATTTCCCAATATTTTATATTTATAGGGAGGCCTCTTTGTTCTGGTGCTTGCCCAATTAAGATTTTTTAGTGGGCCAGTGTGTTATAGGTGTCGTTTTCAACATCAATCATCGAAATTGCTATAAAAAATTGTCAGTACACCATGTTGGAATTTTTTATTTTTTATTTTCTAATAACATTTTATGTTGATTAGTACTTGCAAATTTGTATACTTTCCCACCATACGAGGAAAAAAAAAATATCCTTCGTAATTGAATAGCATCTAAATACATGAAGCAAAGAAATGTTTTCAAGATAAAACACTTGAATTTGACATTCTACGTAACTCATTTAAGTTGCAAAGTTGATCAGATTTTATATTGAGATGGGCAATAATATACTAAATTTACAAACACGATACGGATAGTAGAACTCGAACCCAAGATCTTTCCTAGGAGATAGATAAATTTTTAAAGCAGCATTGCTTTAGAATATTTGGAATCAATTTTATGAATATGATGATCCAATTGTTCATTTTTTTATTATTTAAAAACAAGAAACAAATCACTTTCTTGAACATCCATTCTCTCCCAAATGAGAAAGGAATATTTGAGAGAGAAAATGACCTAAGAGTTAAAAAGCAGAGAGTATGTTGGTTGGTGGAGCTACCCTCAACCTATAGTTGTTGAAGAATAACTTGAAGGTATTTGGGTGAAATAATTATTAAAAAAAAAAAAGAAGGGGAAATTACAATAATGTTGTGTTTGACTAGGAAGTTGTACTTGCTATTTGTTGGTAACCATGTCTTTTTCTTTAGCTAGTTTCTACATTTTGGACAGCAGAAGAGTTACTGTCCATGGCGAAATGGTCAAATGAAAGAGGGCACACCAGACATTACCAAATCTTTTATTGGCAACAAAGCAAATAAATCAAAGCATAATTCAAAAGAAATCTGACTGTCATGATTATATCTCAACACAAGTCACCTAAAGCAGCTAGTCCGTCGGTGCACAATGAAAGATGCAAGGTTTTCACCAAAATGCCACTACTGCCAGTTTTTGTTTCATGAGAATATGTAAGTTTTATATACATTTGTAGCCTATTTTTTTGGTAGTTTAAGTCTTTGATACAGTGGTTGTCTATAATGGTATTAGAGTCTGTTTGTGGGTAAAACAAATTTAGGCATCAACAGAGTCTTTTTTGTAAGTAGTCATGAGTTCGATTCATGTTTCCGCACTACTTTGTTGGTTTGCAAGGTGTAGAGTAGGGCTACATTTATACGTTCGCCTCTCGCCTCTCGCCTCTCTTCCCCTATTGATCTACCTCTCCATGTGTAAGACGACTTACACGTGAGGAAAAGTAAATTTAATATACATTGTTAGCTCATTCTCCGACAACATAAGCTTTTGCCACTAGTGGTTGTGTAATAGTGTAAGATCTGCATACTTGGAAATAAGTACGAGAACATTTTCCATTTTATGTTTAGCAAGTGCAAACTAGAAAGATTATTTGGTAATTCGTAATGCATAATGTTTTTGTTTGTTGATTTCAAAACCATTGGGGCATCATTTCTGCAACTTAATCCAAATTTTTATAAGAAAAGCAAACAGAACTAAAATGAAAACAGAGAAGTTTAACGAGTGGGAAAATTTCTGAGGAAAAGGGCAAAAGGGAGAGTATAGCCGAGCTTCAATTGGTAAGTGCTCAACATAGATGGTGGTGCTTCGCTCCAAATCTGCGGAAAAGAATCTCCTACCTTCCAAGTATTCTCAACAAAATTATAATTGCTCCTACAAGCAAAGGTCCGAGACACCAGATTTCTATACAAGATCAAGCTACTGGGTTTTGCCATTTGCAAATCAAGTTCAACCAAGACCAAATCTCACCTCTTAAGCCAAATTCAACTCAACTCAAGTTCTATCCTGAGAATAGTTAGTTTTGGTGTACTTGGTGTCCTAAACATGACGCCCAGACCCATCCAAATCCATGCTCTCCACCACAACCTTCATAATCAATACCAAAGTGGAAGATGTGCCAATCTTCCCACCAGGGCGGCAGGCAATTTGAATGTAGGGATACAATCTTTGCCAAGGCACGGCTCCTATTGAAAACGGAAGTAAAAACAATACAGGATACTCTTTGGTCCCTGATAGGAAAAATGATTAATCTTGTGATGAATCAACCTAAATTATCAGAAAATTTCCATCAACTACATACTTCCTAGCACCTAAATTCAGGGAGTCAGAAATGAAGGTTTAAGTCCATTCAATAAAAGAACCATTTGACGGAAAATATCTCGAAAGACGTTGCACAGAAAAACTCCGCTAGAAGATTAAATTCTCAACCAGACGAGAAGGTCGTCTGGTTGATGGCTAAAACATTCAACAACAACAACAAAAAAAAAAAAAGTTCATCAGTTCCAAACTTCCAATTGATCTCTAATCAGAGTCAGGCTATTATATCACAATCTTCACTTTTTTAAGACAGATACACAGTTCATTTTCGAGATGATTATCTGTCTTAGCTCTTGATCACCCTCCACATTCTAACTACTAAGCCACACTACGCATTAGGACACGGGTAAGCATAATGTTTTGGTATTGTCTTGACAACCCAAAGTTTCCAACTGAAATGGGACATCATCTTTGTAGGCAAATTGATTGGAGCAAAAGAGCAACAACATTAGAGAAACCTAAATTGCACATTTAAAGGGAAATTCAAAACCATTCCTTTGAATACTTCTTAAAATACACAGACAAGCATTGCAATTGAACCTCATTTGTCAACCTCCATTGCCTGGGCAGCTTTAGCTTTTGCAGTCGCTGTCAGTTTGGTCTTCAATTTCCTCTTGCCAACTTGAAACCCACCTTTCTTGTTCTTGCCACTACCATCAACCTGGTGCACATAATTTGGTTAAAAACAAACTTTCCTTTAGTTGAGCTAAGCTACATCTAAAGAGAGGGAAAACTTACTTTCATCTTGCTCTTCTTTGCTTGAAGCTTCTGTGCCTTCTTTTCTCTTTCTTCTTTCTCTCCTAATTAATTACCAAACAAATTTAAAACTTGTAAACTACATGACATATAGATATCCACAGAGAGAGAGAGAGAGAGAGAGAGAGAGGCTTGCTTACTTTTGAGTTCGAATTCGTGCTGCCTTTTTCGACGAGCAAGATCGTTCTTTTTCGACATTTTTCTCGCGCAGCTCTGAATCGCCGGGAACCCCTCTGGTTTTGGCTTTCACTTTCCTTCTTCGAAATCTTCCGCGAAAATTGACTAAAACCCTAAACCTAGTCAGATGTTCAAGAGGGAGAAAATATTAAAATAGTTTCTTAATTATATTTTTTCAGTTTTCCAAATAACATTTACTGGGCTTTCTTCTTCGGCCCAAATAACATAAAGCTTCTTGGGCTGTGAATAATTGATTTTTCTGGGCCGTGAGTGATTTAAAACGAAATAAAAAGCAATATTATACGGAAAATACCAAGCTTTTCATAGCTTCCGCTTCCTGGATCAGTTAGGAAGCTTTTGCTTACTGGGTCCTGCTCAAGTTGGCTCAGGTACAAGTACTTCCTTCTTCACCTTCAAAGTCTCGGCCTTGCTGATACTCTGATATCCGAAGGGAAGATTATCAAACCGGAGACACAGAAATCAACCCATTAATCAGGTACCTAAGGAGACCAAATCAACTTTCGTTCTCTGGAAATTTACGGTCTGGTTCTAGTTATTGCTGAGATAATTTTCGATTTTCCTATTTGGGGTTCTATTGATTGTATTGAAATGTGCCTCTAATGTCATTCCCTCATCTGGGTCCTATCGAATTCTGTCGAGTTCTATGATTATTCAAGGGATATATTGGGTTTTCAGGCTATGATCTTTTGGGATGCTCAGAAAGATAGGTGGCAATTGGAAATTAAGTTGAAAACTAAGAACTTTGAGTTGTTTTCTATCTGGGTTATGAGTTTCAGGATTTTCTGCTTAGTTTTGCCTAAAAAAGAATTACAGTAGCACTTAGTTGGGTTGATTTACGAGGATTGCATACTTTTAAGATTACAATCAAGGCGTTAATGCTCTTGTAATGGCACTTGCATTTGTCTGGAACCTTCAAAATCTTTGGCCCTTTTCGATACTCAAATCCGATGACCTGAAAGTTTCTAATGAATTAGTAAGCAAACTAACAATACCTGAACACACGAAACAGTTTGTTTACGCCGTTCGGGAGCCTGAAACTCAGTCTGTAATTTACATACTTTCTGCTCAAAGTTTATCAGAGGGGTCAGCATTGGATGCTGATTGTCTTATTAGGGAGGTTAGACCTGATGCTGTTATTTCCCAGGTGGGTCTTTCAACTGTGACTGAAATTCAATCTGAAGAGACTGTATTAAGAGATGGTTTTGACAACTCAGTTCCCACTTCTTCGTTTAAAGTTCTCAAAAGATGTTTTCTGGAGAAGGTTAATAAGGAGAAGTATGAGGATATTGCAGGAAACTTGGTTTTACAAGAGATCTTTGGGGTTGGTTTTCATGGACACTTTTTGGTTGCCAAAAAGGTGGCTCAGGAGGTTGGGTCTTCATTCTTGATGCTTGAATTGCCATTTGTAAAATGTTCTGGTGGGGAGAATACCTCAGGTGAACATGAAGCAGTGAGCAAGTTCCAAGGTTTAGCTAGTAGTTTGGTTCCACAGAAAGTTGGTTCAGTTGCTTCGGTAAGTCCGTCGAGGTTTTGCATAACCAATGATGTTCATTCACAGATGGTTAAGTTATTAGCTCCGCATATTGATTTATCAATATCAAGGCTAAGTCCATCAACGTCTGTTTCTGAGGTGGGGTCAAAAGAAATTCAGCTGCAATCCAGTTATGAGGCCCCACAATTTGCTCAATCAATTTATCCATTTCTTGTGGATCTGCATAATATTTTTGCGGATATCCCATCAATGGGAAAGGCTCTAGCTTGTGCACAAAGGATGTTTTATGATGTGAAAAGAGGTGAAGCTGTAGATACCAAAGTTATATCTGAAGTCTACGCCTTCCGGATTGCAGTTGAGGGGCTAAGAATCTCTATGAACAATGCTGGTCGGCTTCCCATTAATAAAATAAGGAATCCAAACTTAAATGAGATTGATTTTTCTGAGCTTCCAGTTGAGGACAAGTCATATGCTCTCTTTGTTCAGGCCCTTCGCAGCCAGACTAAGAAGTTCAAGACTATAGTGGCAGTAGTGGATGCTAGTGGCTTGGCAGGTCTTAGAAAACACTGGAACACCCATGTACCTCTGGAGGTCAAGGATTTGGTTTGTCAGCTTGTTACTAATTGTGAAGGCGAGGGGGAAATGTCAAACGATACTGATAGGAAGCGGCTAATAACTAATAAACCTTTGGTGGCAGTAGGGGCAGGGGCAACAGCAGTTTTAGGAGCCTCTTCGTTCTCTAAGGCTGTGACACTCAAAGTTCCTGCTTCAACCTTTATGAAAGTTTTGACACTCAAAGTTCCTGCTTCACTTAAACTCTTTCTAAGCCAAACCCATAAGACAGTGGGACTTGCCCTTAGTAAGACCCTTGGCCCATCAAAAGTGGTAGCTCCAGGTTTTATGAGTTCTGGAGTCAAATCAACATCTATATTGAAAGCAACTGCTTCTGCTGAGAAGATCCGAGCAGCTGCCCATAGTGTTATAGCTGCTGCTGAGAAGACTAGCTTTTCAGCCATGAGAACTGCATTCTATCAAATAATGAGGAAACGGCGGCTCCAGAAAATCGGTGTCCTACCATGGGCTACATTTGGGTGTAGTATGGCAACTTGTGCCGGGTTGGTTGCATATGGAGATGGGATTGAATGTGCTGCTGAATCTCTACCTGCAGCTCCATCAATTGCCAGTTTGGGTCGTGGGATTCAAAATTTACACCTGGCATCTCAGGAAGTGGCACAGAGAGATAGCACCAGATTACAAAAATCGATTGAATCCCTCATGTACAGGTTTAAGAAAGTCAGAACTCAGTAGCGAGAATGCAATTCTTATCATATTTGCATAATAGTGGATGCTCTACACAAAGTGGTTGATGGCTAAAAGATGGACTTCATGTAAAAGAAAGAAAAGAGTGTCTAGAGCAGGGGTTAGAGCAGGGGTTCTTCATGTCGTCATTTTTAGTTTTTTCTGCTTCTGTATTGGTACTCTTTTCTAGAAATAGAAACAAATTTTGCAGAAACTTTTCCTTGTTTATTGTAAATATTCAGAGTTCTTTTGAGTGCAGTTAGATGAAAAGTGAAAGAAAATGAATATATTCATATATGAACAAAGATTTGTAGCTATATAGGTTTGAGCAAGGTTGAATTTTGTCATATGTTCGACAACAAATTGGATCTCTTTTTTCTCCAATACAGGCAGCTTGAATTTTGTCTATGGGCTTGTAACAGTGGGACATAATATGGGTCACTTTCTTTGTTTTTGTTTTTGTTTTGTTTTTAATTTAAGAGCGTTTGGTTTTTTAACTTAACAATTATTTTGAGACATAAAATCTTAATTTAGAAAGTTGAATTATATATCTTTTACTTGGATAAAAATGTCTGATTGGATTTTTATTTCCTATCTCACTCTTTTCAATGCTCCCAAAACCTAGCACTCACTTCTCTTTCACACCCTTGGTAACCCATATGTGTTGTTATCAAGGTATTAAATGTCGATATTATCGGGATAATATCGACATTTTTGGGGGACCGATATTTTCGCAACAAATCATGGTGTTATCGTCAATATATCAATATTTTATCGATATTATCCCGATAATATCAACATTTTTATGAATGATTTGGGCAATATATCGCAATATTATCGATAATATCGCAATACGAAACCCAAAAATATTTATATATATGGTTTTTGTGAAAACCATTTTATTCCTTCAAATGATTTTGCTTATGGACAACGTCAACCAATCTTGGATCCATATGAGTGGCATATTAACAATTACATACAAAACTATTTTTGGGATTTATCATTTGATGACTACTCTTCACAATATACCTACTCTACACATAGAGATGATGAAGATAGTGAAAATTTTGAACCTCATAGGAACTCTATGTAGTACTAAGTCACTCATGTGTCTTACTATGCAATGTATAAAGTGTAAAATATTGTAGTAATTCATTATATATAAATGATTATGGTGTGTTTAATCTTCTTTCATTAATTACTACATATTTTCTACACTTACAGTATTTGCCAGCTCGCTATATAATCAACTTAAATAAGTTAAATTCATCATGCAATGCATTTCCTTCCAATTTTTTGTGATAAAATAATAGATAATTGACTAAATAAACATCATGCAAAGTTTCAATAAAAATTTCCAAGTTTTTCTTACAATTTCTGTGGTTTTTATTTAATTTTTACCGATACCAATATTTCCATCAACATTTCCGTATTTTTGGACTTCCGATATTTCCGATACCATCGATATTTTAGACCTTGATTGTAATATACAACATATTTTTCTAATTATAGTAGGTGGTGTGCCCGTTCCCTTACACTCAAGTTCGACCTCCCTCTCCGTCTATTAGAGTAGTTTAGAATATATTTTTAAAAACCCATATAAAAATTTCACTCTGATGTTGATTGGGCTCTCAAAGAGGCCGACATGAATCCTTATTAAATCGTCAGAAATTTGTCAATCAAGGTGACTTCACTCTGCCTTTGACTTTGTTAATGATTGTTTTGTGGCTGCTTCTCTTTGTTTTTAGGGCTTTTTGCTCCGCTTTGGGAGATTCATATGGTGCATTGAGATTGAGGTTATTGTTGTCTATATATTTCTCCATTATGTCTGATTTTTGTTAGGCAACCAGGTGCTGAGGGTGTTCAGTGTTCCAATTTTTCATACTAGATAATCTGTCCATGTGCTTCAAATTTCTGTTGTGCACGTTTGGTTTCAAAAAACAAAAAAATCTGCAGAAAAGAACATTTGATTGATGAATTCTCTTTGCAACATGTCATAACATAACTGAACGACATGCTACATATTTCTCACTTTATCTGTAACAACATTTTTCTCACATTTATGATATAATATTATTAAATATTCATTTATATTATAACACATGGCGGTACTCCAGTAACACCTATAATTACTCCAAAAGTGATATGAAACTGAAAATTTCATTAAAATATTGCCTTTTGAATTGCAAAAGAACATTTTGTATTAACCTCTATTTATTTATTTTTTCTGTAGCAATACCATTTTAATGTAGTTTATGTGCCATAAAAGCCACGGCGTACCCTTTATAAATTCTATATCCAAACGGCGCCGTAAAGCTTATCTTCAACAACAATAATTAAAGCAGGCAAATGAGAAATGATTATGGCGGGAGCGATGGGGCAGAAGAATGATGAAGTCTTCGACTTGTGTTGGCCGTTGGCCCCATTCAATACCACACAACAACAATTCAATTCAATCTCTCCACCAACAAAATCCAAAGACCATTGGCGGTGGAATTTAAAAAAATTCAAAGCAAATAATAAGACCCAGCTAATCAAAAGTAAAAAGAGGAAGAAAATTAAGCTGGTCTAATTCTTCACAATTAAATTAATCAAAGAATGATTTATATTGTTTCTTAATGTAATATCCTTTGACTCAGGACATGGTTTGAATAGATTAATGGCAGATTTGTTTGTTTATGACAATTATATAAAAAAACAAAAACAAATACTATTGCAAACACCGAGCCTTTTTTTTTTCTCTTCTTATATTCTACACGGATCTTGAGCTGTTTCAAACTATCACTTTGTTTTTCTCTTCTTTTCTCGATTGTGGTTTTGTTTAATCATTTATTTCTGTGCTTTTTGAGGCAAAAGGTTGGATCTTTTAAGGGTTCTGCTTTGATCGAGAAGGGGAATATTTGATTGGCTGAAAGAGACCCAGAAGAGGGTTTTTAGCATTGGAGAAGAAGCTTAAAGGTTTTAGAGCTTTTGGGGTCAACTGGGAAGCCTTTTGCTTACTGGGTTTTTGGTGTTTAGTAGCTTTCTGGATCAGCTGGGAAGCTTTTGCCCACTGGGTTTTGGGTTTTGGTATCTGGGTCCGCTGTTTTCTTTTCTCTGATTTCAGCTTCGCCAAATTGGTTCAGGTACTGAAAGAACTTTTAAAGCAGCAGTTATGTTGCTATTCACATGTCATTCTCATTTCATTTGGCTTTGAGCATTTATTGTTCATTAAATTATGATTTAGTAATATTTGGTTGGATAGATAGAAAATGCTAATGGCCAACGCAATCATAATGTTTTCTGATAAGAATGAAAGGAAAAGGAAAATAAAAGTAATCTAAATTAGTTTGTAGCTAGAGCATTCAGTTCGGGTTGGTTTACTTTGCCAAACAGTAAACAGAAATTTTAACCAAGAAATTGTGTATGTAGTCCAAACAAATCTCTGCTAGTACCTGTTCTCTCCCTCTCTACTTTTCGTGCTACTTGAGTTTGTTTGAGTTTGTTTGAGTTTCTGCTTTCATCACATTTCTAATTCAATGTTCCTACAAAATGAATGAATCAGGTATTTCTGTTCGGACCAATTTAGCTTCATTGGAGCATTTGTCCCACTTGAATAGCAGTAAAGTTGATCTAGTTAGCATGAAGCCAGAGGAAACTGAATTTACTTGATCTTCGTTTTGTTTAGAGACACAGTTTCAAAAGGGATAGTTTAAGTTGATACTGTGACATTGACATGGGGTGTCAATGCTCCAAACTCATACCATGTTGCTGGAATTCACAATTCAAGGCAGCGGTTCTTGAAGCACCTGACATTGGTGGGTTAATTATATGCCCTTTTTTTGGTGTGTGGTGTTTTGTTTTAATGGAGAAGCGGATCATATCTGATGCTTGTGGATTGTTGCCTTTATTGCAGATAATGAGGAGAAGAGCGAGGTTGATTACTTGCCTACATTTTGTGAATTCACATTTGAGCAACTTAAAAATGCGACATCTGGTTTTGCAGTGGAGTACATTGTGTCTGAGCATGGAGAGAAGGCTCCAAATGTTGTTTATAAAGGGAAACTGGAAAATCAGAGGAGAATTGCTGTTAAGCGCTTCAATAGGATGGCCTGGCCTGATGCTCGGCAGTTTTTGGTAGACAGATTTTAACTTGATTTCTTTTTCTTCTATGGTTTCTCGAATTTTACTTTCGTCCAAACCATTAACATGATATTTTTCTTCTTCATAAACTCTTAGTCAGCACTTAGGTGACCAGAATTGCACAACTATTGTTTTTATCTTTGTGTTCTAAACCGATGTAATTTTCTGTTGAGATCTTATGTGGGTTGAAATTTGGGTCGTAGACTACTTTTGGCAGATAGTATTCACAAAATGCAGTGCTGTATTTCTCTGACTGTGAAGTCCATTTCTTTTGGGCCATATATATTACCTAATCATATTGTTTTATCAGCTCCATTGAAGGAAGGAATTTTCTGTCTTCTCTATTCTATGACCACTTTTGTGAGACGATTTGGTTTTGCAAAACTGCAGGAGGAAGCAAGATTGGTTGGTCAGCTCCGCAACCAGAGATTGGTCAATTTGCTTGGTTGCTGTTGTGAAGGTGATGAGAGGTTGCTTGTGGCCGAATACATGCCCAATGAAACACTTGCAAAACATCTTTTTCATTGTAAGGTTTAGTTCTTAAGTTTATATGAGGCTTACTCTTCTAACCTGCACTCATTTTTCAATCAGTGGATACCTGATCCATTTGGTCCTGCCATTGCCTCTGGATAATAGTTCCATTTGTCTTACTGATGACTTACCATGGACTTCATTTGGAATTGGACATAATAAGATATTAGGCATCACATTTATTTTAGTAATGATGACCACATATTGCATTAGAAATTCATAATATAATTGTCTGGCATAATTTCTCACTTTTCCACCCTGAATTTTGTAGTACCAAATGCTACTTGAGAGTTTATATTAGTGTTGGTATGAGCATCTACAATGATACAATGGTTGCTAGTGTGACCTTTTTTATTGGTGGTTCTTCGTTCTAGTTTTTTACCCCCTCCCCGTCTGGCATTAGAATATTTTTTTTTTGACTATTAGACAGAAGTTAAGGACAAATACCCTGTGTGGTCTTGTTTCAGTTATAGTATCTTTTCTTATTTCGCTAAATTATCTAATTAGTTGCATGGATGCATCACCTGTTGAGTACTATCCTAATGTTCTGTGGAGTGAACTTTATTG